AATGAACCTTATATAATTGTTTATAAGTTAATTAAATACTAACATAACGTAATGCAACTAATATTAATATAACAGAGCAATAAAAACATTACTTTAAGATGGTAATAAATAATTAATTCAATTTTAATATCGTTCCAACTCATCAATCTGTCTATTCAATGCAAATGGTTTAAATATTTAAATTTACGTGACATGAAAATGTAAATATAGACCGAAATAATAACTTGACCCGGTGAGCATCAGTGACGTTAACAATAAAGACTGACAAAATTATAAAGGTACGTGTCCATTGGACCACGCCAGACGCACCTCTCGCGCTGATTTTAGTTTCCTTTGTATGAGTTCACATAGCGCTGCGTCCAGTCACAGAAAGACAAATCCTTTTAATCCGTGCGTGCGGTGCATCAGGTGTTGTCCAATGTACGCGTACCTTAAAGAGATAGCGCCTCTCACCGGGTCATATAAGTCGGAATATGTAACTTTGATATTAATCACAGTTTTTTTATCTCTATTATTAGAAATGAATTTAGAAAAAAATATTGTATGTTGTTGATGTTTGGTGACTGGATAATGGCACGTGTACAAGCAGGCCAAGGTTCAATTTCGATGATATCACCTAACGTATGTATTGAACATGAAGTGCATTGGCAATCAACCATACGCCACTTAGCCATATGTTAGTACTATGACCTTTAACAAAGAATTATAAAAATCGGACCACTAGGGCCGGAGTTATTGACGAACAAAAATAATCATACAGACGAATTGAGAACCTCCTCCTTTTTGAAGTCTGTTAAAAAGAAGGGTTTTTGTTTGAAATTCCTGCTAAAACAACCAGTTTCTTTTTAGACTAACCATTGCTTGCGTCTCGTCAGCACGGAATTAAAAACTAATTAAGTAGCCTATGTCTTCTTTCTGACTATGTTCCACATCTGTACCAAATATCATCAAGATCGGCTGAGCCGTTCTGGAGATAGCGTGTAACAAATATCCATCCATGTAAACTTTCGTATTTATAGTATTATTAACACGTTAGCTGCGAGAATGATTTTTCGAAAAACCAATTGAAAACACCTAAAAATATAGTAATACCTTATTTACATTGCTCATATACTTATTATTTACATATGAATGGTAGTATGGTTTGTCGGACACATAGTCCGACACGGCCTGATTGAAACATTAGCTTCTCGGACATACAGTCCGACATGGCAGCTAACGTGTTAAGATTTATTAAAGCATCAAATTAATCATTTATTAGTGGGAAATACAACACATAGAAGGTATAATAATCGTGGTATTTATTAGAATATAGAAAACTTTATTAGTAATAAATTTTCTACATATTTTGCAATTAATTATACTAATGTCAACGCCTTCGCAGACAAACTGAGCAATTAAATATCAATCTGTCGCCTTTTTATACTTCTAAGTGATATTTCCTCATGCTTTTGTTTTGTGTCGATTTGTTTCTAGAATAACACCCGGATATTAGGTCTAGCAATCTATAAATCTAATCTTTATATATATAATTCTTCTGTGAGTGTGTATGTCAC